GGTAGGCGTGGCCGTTAGCGCGCCAGCTGTATGATGAGTGCGGCGCACATCTCGAAGAACTCCATCGTATGGTGTCCAGTGGGCTGCACTGGCATCGTGCCACCCACACTCAATGGCGGCGGCGTCAGGCTCTCCATGATCACATCGTCGCCCTGTTCGACTTCGTCGTTGGTCAGTGATTTGAAGTCGAGCAGATAGCTCTTGGGGTCCACCTGGTAGAGCTGCAGCGACATCTTTGAATATTTGCCAGTCTTCACGTTCTGGCGCCGGACACGCACATGATACGGATTGATGATCTTCCACTCGTAGTTGAGGGCCTTCATGGCGCGATACACCTCGAGCATGATGTCGTTCGGCTTGCTCTGCGATCGTATGCCCAGATGCCATTTGGCGCGCTTAATCGGAGTGCCGCCGCGTGCTGTCTTCTCCGGGAAGGCGGCTCCACCCGTATTCTGCACGGACATGGCCAGCTGGCGTTCACGCATCGGGGCAATGCGCTCGGGATGCGGCCGTATGGTGGGCGTAGCACTGCTACCCAGGCCGCTGGGCGTGGCTGTGCCAGAGCTGGCCGCCGTGCCGCCGCCGATGGTGACAGTGGCGCCACCTCCCTGTGCGCCCGACTCCTGGGCACTCGAGCGCGGCTCGTGCGGCGAATGGGCTGTGGGCGGTGGCGGCGAGCCGGCCACAAAAAAATTGTTAATCTCACTTATCTGAGTGGCCGCATCGTCCGCAAAGCGCTTGTTGTCAATGATCAGATGGTAGGCGATGGCCAGCTGGTCGTGCGGATCGCCACTGAGCAAGGAGTTGTGCACCTCGGACTCCTTGACGCCGAACTTGGTGCAGACCTCGGCCACGGCATACGTGTCGATGACGTTCGAGTCCTGCTCAATGGACGAAGGGAAGAGATAGGCGGGCAGATCCTTCTGGAACCACTCGTGCTTCTTGATCTCCTCGATAGTGGCGCGCTTCAGCGGATCCACCTGCAGCATCTGACACACCAAATTCACCACCTGCTTGTTCAGGTACTCCGGTATGGGAAAGATGCCCGATTTGATTTTGCGAAACAGCGACGGCACATGCTCGTCATCGAACGGCAGAGTGCCGCAGAGCAGCGCGTACAGGATGACGCCGCATGACCAGATGTCCACCTCCGGGCCGGCATACAGTTTACCCGAAATCACCTCGGGCGCCGCATAGTTGGGTGAGCCGCAAGACGTGCGCAAGAACTCGCCATCGAGCATCATGTTGGACAGGCCAAAGTCGGCGATCTTCACGTGCATATTGTGATCGAGCAGCAGATTCTCCGGCTTCAGATCTCGATGCACTATCATATGCCTGTGGCAGTAGTCCACGCCCGATATGATCTGCTGGAAGAAGCGGCGCGCCTGATGCTCCTGCAGCTTGCCATGCTTTACAATATAATCGAACAACTCTCCGCCGCTCACATATTCCATGATCATGAATATATCCGATGGTGTGGAGATGACCTAGATAAGTGGAGGGAGAGAGAGAGAGAGATCAGATTGGATTCACTGGGAAAGTTGGGATTGTGAGACGATGTATAAGCTTGCTATAAATCAGTTAGTAAATTGAATTAGTCAAACAAGCAGCCAATCAATGGGTTTATCAATCACTCAATCGTTGATTCCATCCTTTGCTTATACATCAGTAAGTTAAGCAATCAATCAGTCAGTGGATCATTTAATCAATCTCTGGCAACATCATCATCATTAAATTGACTAATCAATCAAGGCCTGGCTATCTGTCAATCACTCAATCATTCACTACTTAGTTTGCCTTTGTATATACAGCAGTCAGTCAATCAGTTGAAAGCTGTGCAAAAGTTGAGTGAATCAATCTATAGGCTCACTATCAATCACTATCAATCGTTGACTATCACTGACCGTCAGGCCATTACTCAATTGGCCAATCAATTAATGCAATCAGTCTATATACATACATATATATATAATGTATATTTATATACGTACATATGTATGTATGCATATATTTAATTAGAATGCCAACAAGAGTTAATGTTCACGTTTATTATTTATGCCCTATTTATTTACAAATTGATTACAGACTCTAGACTGGAAAATTGAGCAAGCTGTCAAAGCAGCTGTCAGAGCTTCGATTCCATTCATGAATGAAAGATAATATGCTCTTTGTTTGGAACATTAATTTCGAAGATTTGTTTACTTCCAGCTAATGATTTTCAACAGCTTTTACATATCTGATAACATTTAATTTTCATTATAAAAATCGAGTCTAGCGGTTACAGTTTGCGAGTCGTTGACAATATGGTTGACAATATTTCTGCACACATTTCCTTACGCCTCTGCTTAACGTTAAACGGTTACAGTTTTAGAAGCTGTTGCTAATTACAGTTTTATGAGAATTGCTAATTCCCAGATCACAGTTTTGAGACTATCTACATTTACAATTTTAGGGATATTTTGGCATTACAGTTAGAGAGTCAATGCTTCAGAGCAAAACAAAACAGTTTTCAATTGCCCCCGTTGAGTCCACCTGACGTTACAGTTTTAGAGTAACTACAAAGAGTGGTTGGAATGCGATCGGGGTATATTACTCACCTGGTATAGCTTGATGATGTGCGGATGCCGGAAGAGTTTCAAGTTTTGGATTTCACGTTTGATTTTGGACACCACATCGAGGCTCTTGATCTTCTGACGATTTAGAATCTTGACGGCGACCTTGAGTCGTGTGATCTGATGCTCGCCAATCTTCACCTTGCCAAAGGTGCCGGTGCCGAGCGTCGCTCCCAGCAAATAGTGGCCAATCTTGACAAGCGGCTGGGCGCCGGAGTTGGAAGCAGCGGCCGCCTCAGCGGCAGCGGCTCTCGACTGTGGCATCTTGGGATGCAGCAGCAGCGGTGTTTATCGATGTGTGAGTGTGTCGTCGTCGTCGTCTTCGTCGTAATCGTTATCGTTATGATTTCCAATGCAATTGGATTGCAATAGTCCTCTTATGGTAAATTAGGATTGTATTCCGCTTGTCCCGCCGTTTTTCACAAAATGGGCAAGGTCGTCAGCGCACAGTTTTTTATTGCGTATTCCGTTTTCAGAGGCATTGGCAAAAATATGTAGTTGGCCCTCGTCTAGCCGACGGACTGCGTTGCGTTGTCTCCTATTGAACGCACTCGCTGCGTCTGTATAAGCCTAGCACTCGCGCATATATAATATAGCCGTCGAAATTCAGTCACGTTTATAGTTTTGTGTTTGCTGGTCCTGCTATTGTTTTTTTTTTTTTCTCTCTTTCGTTGCGTTAGTTGCCTTCGTTAATTGCCTTTATTGGAATGTGTGCTGGTATTTTCCCCACGGTATTTTCCACTGGCTGCCAGTGTGCCCATATGCAAGCAATGAATGAGTGGCAGCACTGAGTGACCTGTTAGCAACAGATTACGTCTATGTTAATTAACATAACAGCGTGCAAAGTGCGCGCAATTTCAAAAGGAGATAACCAAATTTTACTATGAAATTAATCGAATACAAAAATTTTTGTTTAGTTTGTTGCTTGAAACACATTTATTACACATACTTGTAGTAGGTTTCGTTTTGACACATGCAAAATAATACATACATCAAATCTTGTCATGTTTTCATTTGAATAGAAAACAAAGTTTTCCTTCCTTTTGTATAGGGACATCAATATTCGCTTGTAAATAAAGTGTATTGTATACAATTACATATTGCATATATGTATATATATATATATAATCTGTAGAAAGTTCATCTCGTTCTATGCAGCCGCTGCTAATTATAAATTTTACCTATGCACTATATATATATTTATATATAGAGATATGAGGAAAAAAAAAATTTGCTTTGCTTATTATCCAAGTTCATATTACATACATTAATTACACTTAGAGAGGTACAAGCAATAAAGTACCTATAGCTTAGTTCTTTTTTAAACCCCATTTTTGACTTGACTCTACCCGTATATATATATGTATATATAGCTAACTCTTTCTATGCATGCTTGCTGCTGTCTCGCTCATTTGTATGCGCTATGCGGACGCCATTTTGTTCTCTCTGTTCGCTCTGCTCGCTTCCATTTTGGTATAAAAAGTTCGTTTTATGTACAATAGTTGTTTTTAAGCCTTATTTCTAAATTTTTGTTGCTTACATCTTGTTTATTTTTTTCGTAGTTTTTTCTGAATTATTATTTATTTTTTATTAAAATTTAGTTTGGGATTTTAGAAAAAAAAAGGGTCTTAACTATTTTAATGCTATTAGACTAGTTTTTAAATTATTCAAAAAAAAAAAAAGTCAGTTTATATCAAATTTTGTTATTTTAAGCTTTACACTCTCTCATCCAATATAGGTTTGCTATAATTCTACTTATATATATATGTATAC